CACTTATTTTGAGTCTTATTCTTGGTTTAACTTATGAGCAGACTATTCTTTATCTGGAGCCTATTTATGTTATGGTTCCTTAATTGTCTTTTATTTTGAAAGTAATCTGTACATTTGGCACATGTTCTAGAGTATTAGAGGAAAATGAAACCCAGTTTGATCCAAATAAAACTTCAATCGCTTGAATCTGAGATAATTACTTAATATTATTCCTTTGTGATTCTCATATTTCTTATACTTGTAATACTAGTTTGGACGATTTATCAATTGCTTTATAAAATAAAATATAGCATGCCTCAAAATATAAATATTAGATTTTTTTTCAATTAGTCTCATTAAAACATATTTTCTTACAGTATCAAAGTTTTTTGTAATTGTTGACTCTTCGGAATTCTGTCACTCGTTCAAGAGGAATTAAAAGATATAAAAAAAATTGGTCCAATTCATGAATGAGAAAATAAAGAAAAATGGGACTTAGGATATTGTTGAAAAGTAATAACCCGGTTGGATTCATATTGATCAAAGCAATAAATCATAATTTAAATGACATTCTTGAGTGTAAAAGGCGTGGAATCTTGTTTTGTAGGTGATATGCTTTTAAACAAGGACATCAACTTTTGATGATGACAACTAAAGTATTATCATAAGTCAAACATGAACGATTAAATAAATAAAGATGTAAACATGTCTTTAGGGTTTGATAAACTTGACGATCCGATGATGGCAAACAAAGAATGCCACTAAAACCTCATCCCAAGCCACTCAAGCATGTGTCAACATAAAGAGAAGTATCTGACAAAGGCTTGAAGCAATATTTGGTAATATCCTAACTTAGCATTAGTGATCTCTTATTTAAGTAATGAGTGAACTATTGTAAGGTAAAAGGAATTTATCTAAAAGTATAAGGCTAAAAGCACACACACACTAAAATAATTTCAAACTATTTTATCAAAGAAAAATATCTTCAAAAATGTCTTGAAGTTGTGTCAGATGACTTAGGAGCTGTTAAAATAGCTAGAGTAAAAATTTTGAATTATCTAATCGATTAGGTCATTTGTCTAATAAATTATAGTAGTTCAAACTTACGCCCTAAGCAATTCAGACAATGTCTTAATGATGAACAATGACTATATATATATATATATATATATATATATATATATATATATATATATATATATATATATATATATATATATATATATATATATATATATATATATATATATATATATATATATATATATATATATATATATATATATATATATATATATATATATATATATATATATATATATATATATATATATATATATATATATATATATATATATATATATTCCTTTTATTGAACTTACTAATGATTATTTTCATCTTCTAATCGATTAGACATGGGTGTTAATTAGATTATTACAAAATACGTCAGGCCTATAAATAGAGGTATCATTTCTCATTTCAAAGCATTCAGAATCGTATTTTGACATTTTCATCTCTCTTCATCCCTCTCTAAAAATTTCTTTAACTTTCTCTCACTATGTTTTTAGCCTAAATGCTTTTATGAGAAAATTTCTTTTGTGGGTAAGATCATTTTGTAATTCTGAAATTGTTAGAATTGTAAAATTCACCAAGGGAACCTTTTGACTATACCTTGGTTGAATATTGTCCAATTAGGAATTTGTTTGGGATTGGGTATGTCAGTCCTAGTTTAGGTTGAAGATTAGCTTGTGATAAAATCTCATGGATTCTAGATCATCCATGTATTAAAATCAAGATAGATTGAAGCTCATTCAGGTGCTTAATAGATTCACATGTTCGAGATCAGCATGTCGTTAAAATCTCATAGGTTTTTTGTTAGCCTGGTTAAAACTAAGGTATTAATTAAGCTCAAAGGTAATGGAACTTGAAGACTAACCGCTTCAAGGTTCGTGTTTGTGGAAAGAAGATTAACTGCTTCAATCCATAATTAAGGAAGGAAGATTGGCCCCTTCAGTCTCAAACATATTATGAAGAAAAGACGCAAACGCACACATTCATCATCTTGTATATTGTGATTGAATATCAATCACTATTTCCTTATATAAGGTGGTTTGTGAGTCTTTCCTACTTAAAGCTCTAAATGTTTAATGGAAACTCTCAAGATCAATTCTTCGTGAGAAGAGTAGGTCATTTTATTTTTGACTGAACCTCTATAACTCTTGGTGTTTCTCCTTTATCTTAACTCCTTTTATTTCTGCAATTTATTTTTCGTATTTTATTTTCTGCTAGTTAGTTTTTCAAATAGTTTTTGAACTTTTGTTCTATTTTTCAAACCACACAATTCATCCCCCTCTTTTGTGAGTGAAGTCTCAAGTCTAACAAAAGTCATACTAATGGCAAAATGATATACTCAAACATATAACATTGGCTATGAAGAGCCTTTTATCTAGTGGCAAATATGAGTATGGTTCAAATATTACTATCTCTCATAGCTTACTATGGGTGGTAAGTGCATCATCTTGATGTTAAAAAAAAAGTATTATTGCATGGAAAAATTATAGAGGTGTGCATATGAAGATTCTATATGGCATAAGTCTCAGAGACAATAAGGTGTTTCGATTGAGGGAGATTTTACAAAAGTAGTCTTACTGGAATTGAAATGGTTTGGAATATTCACAAAAGAAATTAAGTTCTTATGCTATAAGAAAATCCCCTGATATCACACTTTATTCTTTAAACATTCACAAAGAGGAAATCTAAAGGTGCTTCTTGTTTATGTTGATGATATTATTATTATATGAGATGATTTTAATGAGAGATAAATTATTAATGATAAGTTATGATCAAAGTTTTAGATGAAGGGCGTTGAAAAACTTCCAAGAAAGGAAAGTTTGATCCTCAAGTCCACAAATGTGTTTTTATAGGAGAAGTTATCAAGAACATTTAAGATGAAAGACTTTGAATAACTTCCAATAAATAAAAGTTTGATCCTCAAGCCCACAAGTGTGTTTTTATAGGAGAAATTATCAACAACGTTTAAGATAAAAGATCTTGAGCAACTTTCAAGAAATAAAAGTTTGATCCTCAAGTCCATAAATGTATTTGAGCAACTTTCAAGAAATAAAAGTTTGATCCTCAAGTCCATAAATGTGTTTTCATCAAATTTAAACCCAAAATCAAACACTTATAAGATAGTCTACAATATGCACACTGCATATATCATAGTGTATAGACATGTAAAACTTTATGAATTCGTTTTTTATCATTCATTACTTGAGATCTACTTGTGTACCTTGGACTTACCTAGAACAATCAACCACATTTGACTTAAACTTTAACCTTTGACCCTAAACCTGTCCAAAAATCAAAACATCACTCATATTTAGAATAATGACTATGTCCATGCTAATTACCTTTTATCGATTATTAATCCTTTATTAAACACAAATCTCGCACACCATTTGTCTCTTCCATGACATAACAAAGATGTTCAAATACAATATTTTTTGGATGTACTCACTCGTCTAAACCTCATTAGTTGGAGGCCTTCATACACACCCCCTGAGCCCTATATTTGACTCTTCCTAATAAATACTTAGTTTTTCTAAGGCATGTTTGCAGAAATGAGATGGCACAAAGTTGTTAGAGAACTTCATCATCTTTGTCTAAATACTGTTTCTCTCATTCTTTCACACTCAATGAGATTAGCGTTACTCATTCATATACATTTCTCCTTCAGTGTTACTAAATATCTATATATCCTCAACACATTTTACTCACCCTCTTCTCGTACCAAACTAGTTCACTCACAACCCATGTTCAATAATAATGCATGCAAAACATAGAACATGCATCACGTTGTGTGGGATCCAAAACGGATATGCATGCATGTGTATTTTCTAATTGCCACATCTCATTCTCTTTTTTTTAATCTAAATTCTAAACCTTGGCTTATTTTTCAAAATTAAAAAGAAAATCATAATTAACTAAAAATAATAATTCAAGTACTAAAATAAGATTAACAACAATGATTCTAGTCTTTCACTAATTTATGACTGGCATAATGATTAATCACTCCTACCTCGTGTTTAATTTAGCTAATGCTTCTAAAGCATTCAATGATAAACCAGTTTAGTAAATTGCATGCTAAAATTTTGGAAACAACATTACCGTAATTAACTTGGAAGCAATTAATAACCATAGAGCGAAAAATGCAAACGGGAAAATTATGAATATTAAAGATTTGAAATTTGTCAACAAATAAATAAGAAAACGCGCATAGTTGAAATTGACTTTAGAAAGAAGCCACCACCACGTTGCGTCCGAACCAAGACGTACACTGGACGGTGCTTTCACCTAACCTAACGGTGGGTCCCATTTCATTCCGAACCGAATTAGGTTCGGAGTTTTCTTTCCCCTTTCTATAAATTCACGTTCGTGATTTCCTTCAACGCGTAAATCGCTCCGTAACGAAAATTTCTCTGGTGAGTCATTCCTTTTTCTTCGTTCTTTCGTAAATTCGTTTAGTTTTTGTTCTTGTGATTGTGTGAAAATTGAGTTTGTGATTTGTTGCTTAATTTGCTTTATCGATTATTCGAATTCAACTTTTTCGTGTTTGAATTTTAAGATTTGTGATTTTTGCTTTGAATATTAAATTGCTTAGAATTTAACAGATTTTTACTCTAACGAGTCAAAAGAGAGATGAATTCGGATTTTCATCTCAGATCTAGGTTTTTTGTGATCTAATTTTGTTCACAGTTTTCGCTTATAATCGGTGAATCGTCGAGATTCATTTCTTGTGTATGATTTCATATATTTATGAAATTAATGGAAATTAAATCATGATGATACCTCTTGATATGAATTTTGTGTAGCAATTTGTTCATAATCAATGATAATGATTGAAATTTGGTGTTGTTTAGTGTTGGGTTTAATTTTTAGGGTTTTCTTGATTCTTTATTGACATTGTTGATTTGTGGTGCAGAGAAAGGAAAGAGTGGTAAGAGTGAAGGTGATCTAAGATGGCATTAGTTTCTGGAGGAAGATCAACCCTAAACCCCAATGCACCACTCTACATTCCGGCTGCTTTTCGTCAAGTGGAGGATTTTTCTCCGGAATGGTGGCAGCTGGTGACAACACTGACATGGTACCATGACTACTGGCTTAACCAGCAGCATGATGATGAAGGCTTCTACGTTGATGAATTTTCTGGCAATGATGTGGTTGATTTGCTTCCTGATGCATTTGATCTTGATCTGAATGATGATGATGATGATCTTTCTATTGAAGCTCAGCTTGAAGAGTTTATCAAGTCTTCGGAAGCTCAAGAGGAAGCTTTTGCAGAGTCGGGATAGAAGAAATTTACTGGATGAGGCGAAGATGAAGGTTCCTAGTTCCTACATATCTTCTACTACCAAAGAGGCTGATTGCGATGCTTTCGGTCATTTAGATAATGTACCATGTCAGTTAACTTTCTGTAACTTTTGTATAGGCAAGGTTTCGAAATTCCTTCTTACTTAGTTACCCAAATCTATTAGTTACCCAAATCTATGGTATATAGAGAGAAGGAAAAAGAGAGAAAAAATGTAAAAAAAAAAATTCAAGTATTGTTGTAAGAGCTGCTTTAAGTAATATGACAAAATGAAAAGAAAAAAAAAATCAAAAAAGAAGTCAGGTTTTGTTCATTCATATTTTTTTTTTCTCTTGTCTTCAAAATGGATGGATTCCTTGTTTCAAATTTCGTTTGACTGCACCATTCCAACTATGTCTAGAAGCAGTCAATTGAACAATAATAATCGGATACAGATCATAGGACTAAAAAAACACATTAATCTGTTGCTTTTATGTATCAAGAACGCGTTCAGGCCGTGCAAATTATTTTATTTTATTTGTCATATTTATAAAAATAAACAGGGTTATTAAATTACTATTACTTATAAAAAACAGATGACAATATGAATAAAGGAGATAAAAAACAGATGACAATATGAATAAAGGAGATAAAAGAAAGAAGAAAAGAAGACTTAAAAAAACCGAGTAATAAAGAGCCTAGAAGTAAAAAACCAAACTATAAGAGGGGATTGTCCTCGGTTCTGTTTTATGTTCTGAGTTAAGACAAATTGAAAAAATTCCACAAAACTCCTCCAACTTTTATTTACTTTAAAAGTAAATCTCGCATCAAATTGTGGAAGGTCACCACTCCGGATCGCTATTGATAACTCTAAAAATAACAATAACAATAACGGCATAAATATTAGAATTTTAACTATTTAATGTATCTAATATAATACAGAGAGAAATATATTACTATCTTTTTATGAGACAAAAAAAAAGTGAGTTTAATAGCTATGCACTACATCCAATCAAATCACATAAATATAGTTCTTAAAAAAGTTAATACATATTAACTGTTAAGTACTTAGTATAATTAACTTTTGTTAAAAGAAAATACCTCTTTTATAAACAAAAATATTGCTTATGTTTTCAAAACAAGAAAAATAGCTCATAGCTTTCTCATTTATTCCCAAAAGACAGGTCTCAAAGTTTGCTTTAGATCTCATCCTTTGTTGTGGAAGAAAAAAAAAAGAATTTTGAACTTAGATTATACTTTTTTCATGATTATTGAAAAAGAAAACTTGAGCAGAGTGCAAAATTTTAAAGATCATAATATTAGTGAAAGTTTTTGTAAGTGAGACTGCAGGTGCAGAATGGGACTTGAAAACAAATTCTTAAAAAGCCTACTATTAAAGAAAAACTAGAGTAAGTAAAATACACTACATCCTAGGTGTGGGCTTTCCACTATTGCTGTACATGAAAGACACGACAAGTCTTAAACCTCTCATCTCAAAACTACATAGAAACACAGACTGTGACATCTAAACAGCAATGACTGTATTCATTCTCCATTCTCTTTGAATACGTTGGTGGGGGCAATCACATTCACACCAACTTGGTTGAAAAAAAATGGACACAAAACCCTCCAATTGCAAACAATTTATTGCCTCTACAACAAGTCACAGTTCAGTTACAGCTTCTACCATCCTTCTCAATGAAAGCTATAGGAAAACAACCAATTCAATTCATTTTCATGCAAATATCTCTGTCTTTGCCTCTATGTATTCTTCATCTTCGTCTTCAAGTTTTTTCCTTCTTTGAGCTTCAAGTTTAGTTTGGTTGCCAATGGCTACAGATACAGCTTTTGGTAACCAAAAACCTGGTTTTCCTAGGGTCGGGGCCCGGTCAAATACCAATGGTTCTCTTAAAGTTATTTCAATTCCATCATAGGTCCATAACTTCATGGTTGCTTCACCTTGGATGCATAAAGAGAACCAACCTAAACCAGATATTGCTATGTCTTTGCAGTTCACATCCCAACTAGTTCCGGATACTTTTATTTCTCTTTCTGTCCATGTACCTAGTTCAGCTCTGTGCTCGTTACCAATGGGAGGCTGAAATAAGAACAATATGAAAAAATAAATAAATTAGCAAAACCGAGATAGCGTTAGAGTAGAAAACTTGGCTCCAAAATAAATAGACGAATAAACACACAGAAGACACAAACGATTGATCAAAGTGATTGCTGTCCTTTTTTATTATGAAATGCTTATTAGTGATTGCAGTCTGAATTGCAGAAAACTGCTTAGGCTCGGATGCTAGCCATACTCAACCTATAGATGAATTTAATTTCAGAATAGAGATAATTTGTTTTATTCCATGCAAGTTTTGCACAAATTTGCTAAGCAATACATATATGCCTCAAAACCAAGTCAGTCTACACTCTCCATCAACGAACCACAGATACGTCAAAATCTCGGCTGAATCATATTCAATACGTACCAATATGGTGTCGATACATACAGGAGTGTCCAAATTGTTTATTTAAAAAAATAAATAAATTCTGATGTGACGGGAATACGGCTCCGATACGCCACGGATACAGCTCTGTTTATTTTTTTAAGGGCGTGAATATCAGAAATTTTTCTCTTTAATGACCGTTCACTCACCTTTAATTACATATTCTCTTTAATAACCTATTAAAACTTAAAAAGCACTTGCACTTACCTTTATGATTATATATACCTATAAGCTACAACACTTCTAAACTAATCTGATGGTAATTAGATTAATCTGACGGACTTGCTTCCTTTCTGGTGGTAAGGAAATATGTTCCTTGAACACATCTGGAAATTACTCCAGAATATCATTAATCCTTCCTCGTTGCTGCACCATTCCTTCTTTATCTTTTTCATGTTGAGGCCACCACCAATTCTCCCCTACTACCTCATGTCTGTCTAGGAAACTCTTTCATTGGCAGTCGTCCTTGACCCTGCAACTGCACCATTGGACCTTCATACCAAAATTGCATGGATAAGTCCTTCCAATCCATTACGACTTTCCCCAAAGCCTCCTAACTCCAACACTAGGGCATCAACTTCAAAAGTTTTAGGTCCCAATGTGATTCAAATTCCCTTACACATACCTTCAGCGCAACGTGATGACCATCATCTAATTTGATGTTTTTAGCTGTCATAGGAGTTATCTTGAGTCCAAGGGCAGTGATAATCTCTGAAGAAATGAAACTATGACTGACACTGCTATCAATCAAAGCCATCACACTCACATTGGCCAATCTCCCTTCAATTTTCATCTTATGATGCTCTCCCATACTCCCCAGAACCCCAATCAATTTGCATTCAGCCTCCACATCTTCCTCCTCAGATTCTTCTGCTTCGATTGTTACAATCTCCCCGTATTCGTTCAACATTTCTCCTTCACCCAGAATCAACGCACGCATGGAATGCTCAGGCACTTGTGAAGCATTGGATGATACTTCCCTCCACATTTGAAACATAAACCCTTAGCTCTTCTCTCTTACATCTCTTCATTGTGGAGATTGCGAACCCCCTTCCACTTCTCTGATAACCCAAGACGACGGTCGTTATCCCCTTTCCTTCCCGTTGAACTCAGGGATGACATGGAATTTGAATTGGAACCCGCAGAACCGTTTTATGCCAACCCGAATTAGTAGATCTATTAGCATCTTTTTAGGCCGGGTTAATCCTGCTTCGATTTTTGGATACAGGCCCACTCCAATCACTGTGGCCCACAACCTTCTTTCCATAGTGTTGTTCTCCATCATCGTCTTATTCCTTCAACTCCTCTTCCATGTCCTTCGCCATTTGCATCCGCTTTCACGGGTTCAGAGTCCTCGCCCTCCTTCAAATCTATTGTTTCAGTCCACTCATAAAGTACCCCACGTAATGATCAGGAAGTCGCCCTACTTGCCAAACTCTTTGACGCTCCCTATTTGCCTCAACTTAGAGAACCCCTCAAAAGGATTCTCCAGTCTCCGTCCTCTTTATCGAGCAATCAGAGACTTTTTCAACTTCTCCCAAGACATTATTTTTCATTCATGCAACAGATTGAACCAATGTATAGTGGAATCCTTCATACTTAAACAAGATAGCTTCACACGTATCTCATCAGATGTATTTTGAACGTCAAAATAAATCTTAGCATGTGTGATCCATGCGACAGGGCCGTCTCCCTCAAACACTGGAAGCTTCACCTTCTTACCGGAAAGACGTGATTCACTGTTCGCATGATCCCCCACTGACCCCTCACTTTCCATCGTCGTCTCCAATGTTTTCTGACCGATCTGTTTGCTGAGCTCAGTTAGAACTAAGCTCTATTGCTGCATCTGTTGAGCTAATGCCTCCAATGTCGACTTCATGTCACCCATTTGCACCTCCAAAGCGTCAATTCTGTCTCCCATCTTAGATTTTCTGGGCATCTACAGTCACTGATGCTGGTGGGGGGTTTCTATCCGGCAGGTCGGACCAATTGATGGGTTATAGAATGAAATAGCATGTAATAGTGAAATAGAGATATGAAAACTGTAATTGTTTTGAACTGGTAAAACAGTTATTGATAACAGGAAAATGAAGAATGTAATCAAATAAAAAATTGATAGTGAAAACTATCAATCCCAAAGGCAAGCAGGCCTCCCACTATCACCAAGATGGTGATCCCACTACTAACAGAATTCTCAGCTCCTTATTCTCTCTCCTTCCTTACTACTATATAGTTACTATCCCATGCACTTCATGTACCATATAGCCTCGTCACCATTCTTTTACTATGTAGTTCCTTTGTATATACTCTCCACGTCTTAGGCTTGGGTCCAAAGTCAAAGCCCACTTCCTCACCTAAGTCTCTATCATAATCCCAATCATAATTTACAATGCTGCTGAAAAATAAACTAAATCCAAAAAACTGAAGAATACAGCACAAGGGACTTGAAGCATTTTGAAAAATTTCTAAACCTTAACAAAGTATGTAGATTTTTTGAATAAAAATTAACATCAATAACCAATATACACAATGTGTGAATGGAAACAAAAATCAATAACAAAGATGCAAATAAGCTGCTATTTTTAGAGTGCTCACAAAGCAAAGATCTTATCGGCATATCTCCGTGGCCACATTGCCTAGAAACAATTCTGCATGGTGCGCAAAACTCAAATATATAGAAGTATGTTGCCTCTACTCTCAACACGTCTTGCGAAAATAAAATAAAGAACATACTCGTTAGATTATTCAAATATGATTATGTGTTAAAGTATATTATTCAGAGACGCCGTGCAAAATCTTTCTTTACATCACACATTAAGTGAGATATGCAGTATCATAAAGGGATCGGGAAAAATATGAAATGAAATGAGTAAAGATTTCATAATATTTATATTTGTTTAGGGAATACATGTTTCTCTAGAAACTTAATTGAATATATGGCTCATCATAATTAGCTAATGTAGATTACAATTAATAATATAGTTCTTCAAAATGGAATTCAGTACGAGCATATCAATCAAATGGATTGACAGAAGATGGTCAAGATATGGAAAAATGCATACTTAGACATCCTTGGTAACACAAAGTATAACTGCATAACACTACTGATACAGATGAAAGCATATTTAGTTTTGCATGAGAATAGGAAAAGGCTTACCTGCAGCCTGACACCAACGTGATTATTCCAAATCTCATTAGCATTTTCTGTTTTTCCCATGTGTAAAGAAACGTTTGGTGATGCCCAAACCGTGACATACAGTGATTTAACAGTGGCTTCATCGAGGTCAAGTCTTGCCAACCCACCCACATATATAGCTTGTCCTGCCTGCAAATTAAAACCAGCATATATGTTCAGATAGCATCTTCTTTTCTAAATATATATCAGTGTTGTCAATCACGGATGGCCGAAAAATATAGGTATATTAAAATTCCGCTACACTACAATGTGATAGCACCGATATTTCACAAACATTTTACTAAATAACATCACAAAACAATAGCAATTTGTTGAGATTACATTACAATGTAGCCAATATTTGATAACAGATGTTTACATTTATATACTAATACACATAAAAACCTAACAATCTCGTCTCATTTCAATTTAATACAAATATCCATGGTTCATAATCTCTAAAAGCCGTAATTGGTCGAATTGTTAACAAGTAAACAAAAATAAAATACTTAAATAAGAACTATTCTCGTTTCTGTTAGCTATTAACCGATGGACATGCAAAAAAAAACACATAAATATATAATCTATGCAAGAGAATGACAGCAAAAAATAACTTGCCTTAATTCTATAGGACCGAGGCCGAAGTTCCTTCCGTATCTCAATCATCTTTTGTTCCTCTCGATTCAATCTCATTGACAACAAATACGGATGCAATAGCCCTGGAGTATCAAACATCTTAGCCTTAGCCGACAAAATCCCTCCAATCCTCAAAATCCCAAGTGTTGTCCCAGGAACCGGAGCTTCTGTGAGCTTTGTAACTTTAGCTCCTTCTTTCTTCGCAAGCATATTGATTAGAGTAGACTTCCCAGCATTTTGAGCCCCAATCACCCAAACATTCCCACGAGGACCAGCCAAAGTCTTCACAAAGGACAACACATTCCTCACACCTAAATCCTTTCGAGAACTAACCAAAAAAACCGCGCTCAACTTTGGCGCTCCTCCCGCACTTGCACGATGTCGAACCCATCTTTCCAACCTTGTAGTCGAAACCTGAGATGGAAGGAGATCAACCTTTGTAGCCACAAGAACAAGCTTCGGAAGTCTCTTACCCTTCTTCGTATTCTCCTTCATTCCCTCCAACGCCTTAAACAACGACTTCACAGCTGTTCTCGGGAACGAACCGTCAAAATCAACACAATCCACAACCATGACAACAACAGTAGCACTACCACTACCAGAAGGATTCATTAACCTTGTAGAAATCAACCTATCGAAATCAAAATCAGGTATCAAATTCTCAGCTGTGTGATTCTTCACCTGCCCATAATTTCTCAAGGAAAAACATCTAGCACAAACCGTAACCTCTTCTTTCACCTTCTCAGCTTCCCTAGCCAATCTCTTCTTCTCAGCCTTCGAAACCTTCTGCTTCTTCGCCCTCTCCAAAACCTCTTCAGTAATATTACCATACCCAACCCCTGCAAGTGCAAACCCATTCAAATCAACCTTATCATCCTTTTCTTCACCAAGTAACATAGCTTCTAACTCATCAGAATCCAAGTCAATGTCGTCAATTGACCCCTTATCTTCTTTAACATCATCATTTTCTTCATCTTCATCTTCTTCATCTTCAGCTTCATCCTCATCAACCCCAGAATCCTCTTCTGTAAAAATCTCATCTTTGACCTCTCTTTCTTTGTAATACCCAGGAAGATTCTGATCTTTATCTTGCATGAAAATTCCACAACCAGGACAAATGGGTCCAAAAGCTTCATCTTCGTCTCTCCCTTCACTCAAAAGCTGGTTTCTGCTATTTCTTCTGGGAGTGGTTTTTCTAATAGCGTGGGTACCATTGGTAGCAAAAGCAATAAAGGAGAAACCTTTGTGAAAGCGTTTAGTAGCATCTAGAATGGAATAATGTAAAAACAGAAATGGGTATAAGAAAAGAGAAGAAAAAGAGATAAAGAGTGAGGGGATTAGGGAAAGGAGTTACCTGCGGAATGGCGGAGAGCGTGATGACGGGGAGCGTTGTTGAAGATGGGTAATTTGGAAGTGAGATTAGTGGAAGGAAGTGGAATTGTAGAGAAGAAAATAGCCATGGCAATGAGATAAAGTGGTTCAGGAATCAGGACAGTGGCACCAACACAATGCTAAGGAGCAGTAGTTTAAGGTGAACCGTTTTATTAAACCACGATTCATAGTAATTGAGCGCAAGTTTTTAATAAAAAAAAAATCTTTGATCATCATTTAGTTTAATTCGAAATAAAATAAAAATAAAAGGGTTATTGGTTAGAATTTTTCACTCATATATCCGATATTTCACTCCTATAATCCTAATATATTCTACATTCACTCATATTTTTTAATTTAACTAATTTTTACGATTTTTTTTTTTAATTTACAAGGGGGCGCCATTGCTGATGGAGTCACCCTTATAAATTATAAGGGGGTGTCATCCCCTTTTGAGGCACCCTATAATTTATAAGGGGAGTGTCATCCCCTTTGGAGCCTCACTTACAGAGTTAAAGGGGGTGTCATCCCCTTTTGAGCTCCCTTTGTTTCGTTATATTTTTTAATTCTGATATAAATAATATAATTATAATATAATACTATTTTGTACAAAAATTTTGTGTATAAATAGTTAGACTTGTTTCATTCAAACAACACATTGTTTCATCCAAAATTAGGAGAGTGAGTCATGTATCTTAGAAGATATGGGCATGTAATTTTTTTAAGAACGAAGCCTCCGATAAGGATGTTGTTTTGGAACATCCAGAGTTTAGAGCAACTACGAAGAAATTTGAATCGGTGGTTAGAAGGAGACATTCCAAATGGTGAAAGCATTAGGAGTATTAAAAGACTTGTCTCATAGTTCTCTGTTGAAGACGAAAATATACAACGGGAGTGGGTGCGAATTAGAGATGACAACGCAGTTAGGTCAATGATGTTTGGAACTGATGATATTATTTTGATTGTTGTAATAGCGTAGTTTATGTTGTAACAATAGTTATTTTTTTATGATTTGCGTTGTTGCTCTAGCAGTATTTCAATTTGTTTATGTGGTAATCAGAAGTTGTTATAAATATTAAATTCCAAGATTACACATTTTTTTAATGACCAAATTAAATCTATCTAGAACTGGTTCCAACATTTGGACAATTATTCCTCGTATGCCGGGAAGACGACATATTCCGCATAGTCTTTCCATTTTCTTAGTTGTATCCATTTCAGTTGTAATTCGCGTGCTTTTGGGGCGGCCCTTTTTGTTTCGTCTCATTTTTTCGTTGTGGTAGATTGTGTCTCCATAATAGGTTGGCCAATATTCCTCACTAGCTACCACTGAAAAACTATTATGGTAGATACCAAATAAGTTCACGACCTTGTAAACTTCTGATAGTTGCAAGAATGGATCGTGACGGGCACTGGAACATGCGGCAATGACATGTGAACAAGGCAGGCAGAAGGTTTGAAACTTTCCGCAGTCGCACCAATTTTTATGAAGTTCCACCCTGTAGTGTCCCATTGGCCGACCCTCGTTGTGATCCATTGTCTCATCAACAATGAAGTTGTAATCGTGACGATCAAATGGTCTAACTCGATGTGAGGCCGCCTTCGAAGTTTCATCCTTCATATATTTCATACTTGATTCGCTGAATATTTGCCCTGATTCCAAAACAGCGCTCCATTTTTTGCCTCTTGCCGCAAAAAGTGACCCCAATCTGTAATAGGTTGCTCTTACCAACGCAGTGATGGGTAAGTTTCTAGTTCCCTTAAATACGTCGTTTAGAGATTCTACAAGATTTGTGGTCATGTGACCCTATCGGGCTCCTCCATCAAAAACTCTTTCGCGTTTGACAATCTTATTTCTTCGCGGTAATACATGAATGATGGTTGTTTTAAGGCATACCCAGCGTTCACAACTTTTTTGCGGAGATTTTTGTCTTTCATTTCCCGCATAAAATTCTGAGCAATGTGTCTTATGCAGTAGACATGGACAGAAGGAGGATTGTGCCAACCATTAGCAGGATTGTTGTAGGCGCTCACAATAGAGGCATGTCTGTCGAAAATCAGACATAAGTTGGGTTGAGGAGCGACATGTGTTCTGAGATTTCTGAGGAAGAAACTCCAAGCTTCACCTGTCTCACTCTATGTTATTAATAGGTTTATTTTTATGTCCCGATACAAGTGGCAACGTTGTCCACTCTATGTATTTAGTTTTACTAGATGATATAGATAAAATAAGAACATATAGTTGGGGGTCCGCTACACTAGCGCACCTATATCGGCCTTTGTGTAACAACGCAATAGCAAATTCGGGAAATTGGACCGGTTGTGGTGTTCTTCTTCAAGCTTGGGGATGGTCAAGGATGACCGATCTAGCACATATCCAACAAAATAATTTTGAATTCTCATATGCTACAAGGTAATTACTTAGACCAAGAATGATCAATCTTTCATAGTCTTTTATTTAATTTATCCTATTATTAACAAATGTTTTCTTTTCAATTTGTAGGTGGTCTTCACTTGGGATGAATTACGACAACTGTCCCCATTTCAGTATCACCCAATACATAAATCTTATAGATCATTTGGGACAACATGATGTAAGTACTAAGTATTATTAGAATATAGTATCCTTAACTTACCTATTTAGAATATAGTCTCCTTAAATATTATTAGAAAATACTAAATATTATTTTTTTCTCCTGCAGTTTATTTGGCGACCATACCTTGGTCTAGAAGCCATTCACGAAGTTAACCAACACGACTCTGCAGTGTGGAGTGCAAAGGTGCCGATTATCAACTTCACCACCGTGGAGATGCATAACAGTGATCGTGTAAAGCTTCAGTTTGGAATGCTTCAGGATATTCCATGTCCGCCGAAATGCATCCCCGACAAATATCACACCGGTAAAGTCTCCGACCAATGGGAATATTCTCCATGGACCAAGTATGCAAAACATGAGTGTCGTGAATGGAGGCATCGTAGCCATTTTGTTTTGTCCGACACTGTGTTTCCATACGAGAGAAAACAGACTATCCAATACATGAATTGGTATATGGAGGTATCCATCGGTTTCATTTCGCATCCAAGATATCTTGTTGACCCACGCCAACAAGCCACGTCATCAAGACCCCAACAACCAACCCAACCCCATTTCCAACCGCCAACCCAACCCCATTTCCAACCACCAACTCAACCCCATTTACAACCTCCAACCCAAACAACCACAACTATATGAACATACCCCTAACCAATTCACCCCATTCACACAAACTTATTCACAGTTCGAATACCAACAATATCCACCATAATACCAAACATACTCCATGGATACTACAAACCAAATAAACACCCAGTTTCAAACACCAAATCAACTCTTACCCGCCCAAACATTTCCACCCATGCCACCCTACGACCAGTCAGGATATCGTCCTGACATTGCCTCATCCAGCCAACCACCCCAAAATAATTATGAAGGCATGGGCAGCCCTTTTGATTTGGATGACTTTACAGGGATGGAATCGACTTCATGGGCCGAAATGATGCAATTTTTTGAAGACGACACGGTCGACCCGACTCCACCACAAAGACGACCAAGAAACGTACATAATCGAGTATGCGGTACGGGCGGACATTTAAACCGACCTAGTCGTAGAAATTAGTGTGACATATCACTCATATGTACCCATTTGTAATTAAAAAAAATTTGTAATTATTTTTTAATATTATGTTTATTAAATACAATTTAATTTTTATTTATTATTTGGAAATTATTATTTATTATTTAGTTGTTAATTATAAAATTATTTAAAAAAATTTATTTATAAAATTATTATTTATTAAATATTTTTTAATTGTTAATTATTATTTATTAAATATTTTTAAACTTATTATATAATAAAAACTATTTTAAAATTTCGTTTAAGGGAGGTTCCAAAGTGGATGGCGCCCCCCTTATAAATTATAGAGTGCCTCCAAAGGGGATGGCGCCCCCCTATAATTTATATGGGTGACTCCATCAACAATGGCGCCCCTTTGTAAATAAAAAAAAAAAAAACCGTGAAAGTTGGTTAGATTGAAAAATATGAGTGAATGTAGGATATATTGGGATTTTAGGGGTGGAATATTGGATATATGGGTGAAAAATTCTATCAGTTACACGTATATCTTTTTCTCAAACTTAATAAATTTTTGAAACTATTTTTCTCAAACTTGTCACATGTGTTAAACAAATATCAAAACACATCAAATGTTAAAATAAATGAGTTCGATAAATCTTCTTCAGACAATTGGTTGTTTCCTTTGCCATCCATATTTTCTTAACTTGTTCTCTTCCCTTTCTTGCTCCTTGACTGGTTATAAGACTCAAGATATCTACCACACTAGTGACACCTTCAAGATGAGATATTTTAATAAATTTTAAAGAAAAAAAGCAAACATTGCAATCATTTAACTAAAATATCTCAATTCTTACTCTTATTCATTCAAACTAACGTTAATCAATTCAAACATTCCTCTCATTTGGTTGTGGCATTTGAAGAACATTTTTTTAGCTTTGAATTAATGTATATTATATCACATATATTGGCATTTGTTGAATATATTATTAATTGTTTAATTTTTTTTTTTGTTAAATTTAAGGGTTAGGTATTTATCTCTTATAAACTTTGATTTGAAACCATCCCGCTGATACTATTTTGAGACTGTGTTTGGATAGTGTTATCCGGACATAACACATGTACACACATTTTAATTCGTTGAAATTATATAACATTTTTGTGTTGGATTTTAATAACGTTATATGTTTATTGTTGTAATCACAAACGACACCTTTCAACAAATAAAAATTGAGAAACAGAATTTTTGGATAAACAGTAAAAACAGTTAGAACAAAGAGAGAAAGAAGAGAGGATAAAAAAGAAAGAAGAAGAAGGATTATAGCAAATTGTTTACTATTCACTTTCTCATAAGAGTTTACAAATGATTACAAATGAATATCACAATTGGCTTCACTCAACAACTTGAGTGATCTAGCCTATTTATAAACTAACTAGATAACTTGCAACCTCAAACTAACTAAAACAATTGAATTCT